CCTTTGATAAACTTAAACCTAGTAAGGCTGCTGGCCCAGACAATACAGAGCCAGAATGGATCAAAGCTCTAGATCAGCATTTCTCAAAGTGGGCAATAACGCCCCCTTGTGGGCAATGAGTAAATCTAGGAGGGCGCTGAAGACAGGGTATTGAACAGTGACCAAAGGTAAAATTGGGGTCACTGAAAGCTGTTCCCTTTCCTCTGTTAAACTGATAAGAGGAAACATTGCATTTAATGGTTTCCAGATGTTGAGAACAATGTAAGGGCACAAAGTGTGAGATTCATAAAAAAGTTTTCCTATAAATATTGCCAATCCTTTCTCACACAAGAGAAAATCGGTTAGGGGCGTTGGGTATAACTTTATGGAAAAATGGGGCGGTGAATCGAAAAATTCGGAAATCACTACTCTAGATGATGGAGGCATCAAAGCCCTAGCTAAGTTATGCAACGACATCTATGAACTGGGATACCTTCCTGAAGACTTTGTACTGTCTATGATATACCAAAGTATATCTTAGTATAAAGATAATGAATTGCACTGAGGACTTCACAATAAGAAAACACCAATTTGAACCGACACTATTAATTTAATTAACAATATATCTTACACACGATGACAAACTAATCTATCATGAAAGATAGAAAACAAAATTATACAATTTTTTACATGATGATACATACAGTTGCCATATTTCTATCGTACCTCTTTACAATTTATGATCCTTTTGTTCCTATAAGCAGTCCTTCTTTTCTTTCTTCCTATTCTCAGAACTGTCCTTAATGTTTTTTTCTTTATCGAATCTTCCTTTGGTAGTATCACCGCTCCTAATCTCAGGACGACATCGAACAACCCAAGACAGAAGAACATAAAAAAGGTCCTTTCCATGTGGACGTGTCCCTTTTTATATACTCCCTCTATCTGGGTTCTTCCTTTACCCAAGGGGCAATTCGCACAGCCAATCACAGCCACGATATGGATGTATCTTATACAGAGAACTATATTTCTAGTCGCAGAGCACTACATACCTCCCTCCAAAAGATTATATCCCAAACTGTAGTTTGTGGAAGTCAATTTTTCTTCCCCTCAAGTTATACGGTCTGTTTTCACTCTCCACTACTCCAGGATCTTCCCATTTCTCTCCACTAACGTTAGTTTTTTGTTTGCCGCCCAATTTACGCCCTCCCACTCGGAAGTCTACCAATTCCTCATCTTCATCTACTACCTCGTCCAGTGATTCCTTTGGATAAGACTTCCTCCTTTTCTTAGACTTTACACAACTATAACATGGCTTAAGACAGTCAATATGTACTGTATCAGTGTCCTTCCTGTTACAACCTTCTACACAGTAAGTAGTAGGATTCACAACTTTTGTAATACAAAACGGCCATACGTAGTTGGGTGAAAATTTCCTTCTTTTAACCCCCATCCTCTTAACCCACACCTTCTGGCCTTCACTAAACTTTACTAAATTCCTACTCTTATTCCGAATTTCTCTACTCTTCCGGTTACTATCCACGGCATGACTATTAGCAAGTTCCCTTAATGACCATAATTTTGTGACAATAAACGATCTGCATTCATCCACTGACAAGGGAACTGTCGGAGTGGCATCTAATAAATTTTAATAAAATTTAGTTAATAGTTACGTTAAAAGTATACAAACTCTATATTAAATTTGTAGTNTTCAGTGAAAACTTTTTAATTTTAATTAATAATAAAGCATTTAATCAATAGATTATACAAATTAAATATTTATCTAGAAATGAATTATCACAGATATAAAAATTTATTAACACTCATAGAAGGGATATAAAGAGAATTTTTGTAAATTTCTGAGTTTTAAGTAAAGATAAAAAATCTCTTAACATTAATAAGTGATCTTAAGGAAGATTGAGACAAATACAGGTAACCCCCATAAAACACGGTACTTCTATAGCACGGATTCACTCTAACAGGGTTCGAGAATTGGGTAAAACCCTCATACAACATGAAATGTAATAAAGGGTACGTTATTTTATACCTCCACATAACTCTGCATGAGCATTCTAATTTTTTCGTGGCTACTTTGAATGCTCTTTCAACAAATAATCCATTTAATGGTTAAATTTTACAATTGGGACCCTTTCTTTTGCCTCTAAAAGCTCATATTTTAGAATTATAGATTCCTCCATCGCGATACTATCGATAGTGTGGGCACTGCCATCTTTGTTGCACGGTCGTTCCTAAATGCCTACAAACAGCAGCACACTCCTGTTGTAGTGGAGATGCAGAGTGACCGCTATTAACAAACACACCCAAAAACTGTTACCAGTTGATGATGCTCATACTGAGATCATCATATAGGATGAATTATCCTCTGGTAAAATATTTACTTAAATAATAAATAAGTATTTTACCAAAAAAAAAAAAAAATGAATAATCCGATTTAAAGAAGAATTTAATAGCACGTTTTTTCATTTTTGGAACCTAACCCCCCTTTTCACACTAGTTCTTTGTTTCATATAACATGGATTTGCATAACACGGCAATATTTTGGAACGTAACTCCCATGTTGTACAGGGGTTACCTGTAGGTAATAGATGAGCCAACTTTTCTGAATGTGCACTCTTTTCCAGAAATGGCATTTAAATAAGAATAAAATTTCTTGAAAAATTCAATGTTGATTTAATGAACATTGCAGAATGAGGAAGCAATGAATGCAGTACATTACAGATGCTAAAACTAAACTTATCAAATTTGCAACATGCTTTCAAAAGAGAAGATTTAAGCTATTTAAATCAAATTGCAACAACATAATATATAAAATGTTTTCCTAATTTATTTTTATATTGAACTACTTGTCTTCATTTTTTTGGTCCTAATTAATTAATTTAAGACAGAAAAAAAAAAAGTTATATAATAATGAAAAATCTCAGATGAGACTCATTCATTGTTGATTATGATACTTGTCTTGAATTAATATGAAAATTTCTAATCACTACTACTGTAAATTATAGTCCAACGAGTCTTTGAATCATTCTATTCAGGAAAAATTATATTGGATGTATATGTTTATATAAATTACTTATTCAAAAAAAATTTATATCATTAAAGCAAACATTCTTAGAGATTAACATTTAAACTTTGCACAATTTTTTAAAAATAACAAAATTGATATGTAAATGATAATAATTAAACAAAATATATGGTGAACTATATATATTCTAATCCAATTCAGAATCCCTATCATAAAATCTCAATCATAAAATCCCTAAATTGTTAATTTTTTAATTGATAATTTGAAGATACATTGAAAAAAATTTTAAAAAGTGATGACATCTCTTCGGTTTAAATAAACAAATAAAGTAACAGATTATTGAATTTTAAAGAGCACTGTACAGTATACCCCCCTATAACACGGGTTCATATAAAACGGATTTGTATAACATGGCGAAAAAATTGCATTCATATTTATATAAACATGCTAAAAGAGACTCATATAATACGGTAAAATGTCATCGCCGACTCACGTCACGACAGGATTGGTCGAATCTAGACCAATAATGATATTGCACAAACTGTTGAGTTTAAATGAGCAGCGAACCTACTAAAAACCATTTATTATTTAACTGCCATAAAAATTATATTTATATTAATGATGTCTCCAAAGTTCAGCAAATTTTTCACAGAAAAATAACTTATCAGAAAGCATGCGCCTGCCGTTCGATGCACTGTTCTGCGACAAAAACAAGCTTAAGCAATGGTCATCGAACGATGCACACTCAGTAAGTAATCTTACAATTTTTTGTTTATAGCATAGTTTATATGGATTATTCCATATAAACTATGGATGGAACGTATCTACCATGTTATAGGGGGTCTACTGTGTATTATAACAGTAAAACTGTTGCACTGAAAAACATTTGCTAATAGTTTGTGTTTCCATCAATACAAATCATCAAACCTTACGTATTTCAACAATAAAATTTTTTATCACAATTTAACTGTGTAATTTAAAGTCATATTGCAAAAGTCTGTATTGGACAAAAGATTTTGCTTTTGGATTAAAATGCAAAAATTAACAGAAAGCTATAAAAAATTATGAAATTTAAACAAAAACTGATAAAGTAGTAGTATATCAAACACCATGAAGCCCAATATTTATATAGAAACATAACCAAATGATTGCCTTAAATAATCAGGCTATAGCTCCACTAATTTAATGATTAATAGATTAATACTAAATAATTTGCTACTAGAGATAGATGTTAGGCACCATTTCTTAATTAAATTAATAATTATAATTTTAATAATTTATTAAATAATTTAGATTCATCTGGAAGAAAAGAACTGACCTGGGGAAGGGCTTGAACCCGCAACCTCTGCTGCTGTGCAATGCACTTGCCAGTTGTGCCACCTGGACCCTGAGCAAGCCTTTGCTTCCAGATGTATTTAAATTTAGATATAACCTTACAAGCATCTTTAGTTAAGAGATGGCAACTAACATTTGAATCTACTAGCAAATTACTTAATTGTTAGTATTAGTCATTAAATTAGCTGAATTACAGCCCAATTATTTAAGGCAATTGTTTGGTTATGTTTTGATAAAGTAGAAGTACAAGCAAGTTGAGTTTGAAATGCCAAGAGTCCTAAAGTGTGCTAGAAAGTAAGAATTCTACTTAATTTAACCATTGGTTGCATGCAAGTTTTAGGACTACGTAAGATGATCAACTTAGTCACCAAATCTTTCTGCCTTTTTAAATTCACTAACAATCCAAAGCAAATCATCAGTTATGAGATCAAAAACTGCACAATTATGAAATCCCATTTAAAACTTCTTAGGCCAAGATTCAATTCCAACAGCCTGAAACCAAATGTAATTCTTAACTAATTCACCATGTACAGTACAAATTGAAGGCATTATTTGTAACATTTTTGGCATTGGCAAGTAAGGATATGTATGCATGAGATATCATTTTTCCTATGTATTAGGTATTTCATATTGGTTTTATGGAGAAACATGTTTAGCCTGTAGCAAAAACTGCCTTTTTGGAACTCACCAACAGTTGATTGTTGCTGAGTTGCAGTATTTACATACTGTAGTTTTCTAATAAATAAGTATTTACATATTTCCCAACTGGAAAAAGGAGTATGACACACTGCGTTTCTCAGCTCTATGCCATCTCACATAAAAAAATTTTGGCAAGGTATGAAATATATAGTAATATATATATATATACAAATTTGAGAAAAAGTTACTGCTTAACTTTTGAAGAGTTAGATACATATGACAAACGATTAATAGATAACATAAGAATATTTACAATATTTCATTTTTAAATAATTAAAATTAGTGATGTAATGATGACAATGACAATAATAATATGTAATTAAACAACATTTTTACTCAAGAATTGGGCTAGATAAAGGTTACACTGTAGCCTATTGAAGACTGTTCAAGGAATTCATTAGGCTATAGCAGGCAGCCAACATACGGCCCATCTAATGAATTTATGCAGCCCATGATTAATCTTTCAATATTAGGTACTCAAGTCTGAATAGCTCAATGAAAAATTCTGACGCCTAAGGAAAAAAAAAGGACAACAACTCACTGTGCGTTTAGAGTTAACTCTCCATTACAAATCTTGTAAGTACAGCGTAGAGTGTTGATAAAGCATGATAATATGAAAAATGTATCTGTAATCTCTATCTACAATTCAGTCTTTACGGGGTGACACCACAATGAGATCTCGCACCACCTCAAAATCTTCCTAGGGTAGCCTCAGGTTCGGCCTGTGGAAAAAGTTTTCTTTCCAATTCGGCCCAGGGGCAAAAACTGTTGGCCGCCCCAGGTTTAGTTTCTAACAAATAATTTTTTTGAGAAAATCCAGTAATTGAATACATCGTTGGATGACTCTATACTGATTTATAACTTAATCTTTGACATTTAACTTCTAGTATTTAAATTTGTTTGGTACCAAATTCGATCAATTAATTATAAATCAAATTTTTTCACAGGTTTGACCTGTGAAAAAAGTTTTCTTTCCAATTTGGCCCGGGGGCAAAAACTGTTGGCCACCCCTTGTCTCTAGATCTACTTCACATACAATAAGACACAGCAATTTTAAGTCTTTTTTCTGGTTGTGTTATATATGTTAAAGTTAATAGGTATATTAATTAAAACTAATGTTTGTAATTTTAATATGTATAATATAATACATATATTTTAGTTATCATATCTGAATTCTATACATATGAATCTATTGAATACTTTCATTTCATTCAAAATGGCAATTTACTGCATATCAACATCAGGATTTTGAATTTCATAATTTTAAAAGATATAAGGACCATCAGATTCAACATTTGATGGTCTGTTCCTATAAATTTAAAAACAAAGAGTTTATCATTGTTATCTCTTATAAAGTTTCATTAGTAATTAAGATCATATAAGAAAATTATCTTTCTACCAACAAAATCATCTGTGTGGTGCAACCTTATTAAAAGAAATTTTTATTTAATTTTTGAAAAATAATAGTAAAAAATAGGTATCTGCCCCCACTAACACAATGAATAAAAATAAGAAATGGAGACATTATATGCAAATCATGTAAAATTAAACAGGTACTATATAACCTGTTTTTCAGGTATTAAGTTAAAAAAAGACACAAAGAAACAAGTTTAAATCAGCAGAAGTATTTGAATTTAATGTCAATGTCTTTAGAAATGTTGCTGTTAAAGAACAGCATTTAATACTAAAGTAATTAGGATAATGTAAAAGATTTATATGTATGAAATATGCATGTTTGAGTTTAACTTTTAACATTATTATGTAATGTTTTTTAAGTGAAAAATAAAAACAACCAAAAGTTTTAGGGACAATAGCAATTGTAATTTCTAAATAAAAAAAACTTGAAAATTACGAAAATTATTTTAAATCATCCTTACAATCACATTTAAATTTAGAAAAAAAATACTGGGCAACGTATTTAGTAACTAACAATAAATGAAACAAACTCATAATTCTATTGATAGGTCTTAAAGCACAATGTTATCTTTAATCTCACCTTAGTGTGTAACAGAATTATAAGGCATATATTATAAACATTATAAAATTATAACAATTATAAACATTATCAGGCATAGTTTGAACCAATTTTTGAATTGTTTTACTGCAATATTTTCCCAACCATCCATATGTACTAATTTTAATTGGTTTACATGAGAATATTGTTTGTTTTGACTATGAAGTATAGTGATACCTCAGAACTCAAATTCAATTTGTTCCTAGAGAGCATTCAAGTTTCAAAGCAATTTTTCCCATAAGGAATAATACAAAGCAAATTAGTCCACTCCCAAACCCAAAAATGCCCATTTTAATTCTAAAACCTCACAATTTAAGCAAAAACAACACAAGTAAATACCATAATTAAAGCATAAAACAATGAAAATAAAGGTGATAACAAGCAATTATTTATTGTGACATCATCACAATGTCAGACTACAATGTTAATCATATTTTAATTTATTTAATTTAAAATATATGTTTGCCACCTCAAATTAGTAGTGGCATCATACTTTTCCTTTAATAATAGAGTTATGCCAATCATATATCTAACACCTTCAGGGGAAAATTTTTTGAATTGGAAGTTCATATATAGTTAATCAAGGCCTCCTGCCCCTAAGGTTTCTATATCTGATCTCATCTTTCATCTATCTAACTCCATTCTTGAGATTAAGGAAAGACAGACAGATGACAGTGGGAATTTATAAGTCTACAATGTTTTCAAATTGCAGCCCAAATATTTATGAAAAATACATAAATTATTCAATTATCAAAAGATGACAATTTCACTAAATTTCTCATCTGAAAATTGTCTTTCTGAAGATGAGTCCAAAAGTACTAGGGCAACAATGGCAAACCTGTGACCTGCATAGCAATTTCAAGCTACCCACAGTGGATGTTTAGAAAGTATTAGGTTTCTTTCAATTATGCAAAGTTTTAAAATCTATCGAATATTTTTCATGTTGTGAAAGTATGGTCCTAAAGCTATCATAAAAAGTCTTAAATTAAGAATCTCAGATATAAAATTATATCAAATAAACAGCAGCAGATTTCCTATTAAACAAAATATTTGGACCTGTTATAATCACATTGCTTGCCTTAAAACAAACATGAATAAAGAAATTCTTGAATTAAAGTCAATTTTGTTATTTCCTTAGCAAAACACCACTGTCACAACATTAATTTTCTGGCAATGAAGCAAACAAAAAATTTTACCAGAATTCATTAAACTGAAATGTAAATTGCCTTCATAACCCCAAGAAATAACCCTATTTCCAATGATTTTATTATTCATATTGAAAAGTGTAAAAAGCAAGAACCTGGGAGGTTGTCATCACCAATTTCAATAAAGTTTTGTGGACATATAGTATTTACTTGTACTTAAATTCTACCAAAGCTGCAGGACCCACTATTCAGACATTCTAGAAAAACCATAATCATGATTTTCTCGAGAACTATTAATACCTGCATAGAAGCATCATTTACGTTAATAGCATGGCATGATTAGTTAAGGCATTGTGTGAAGCCCATTATTATTTGATTTGAAATTATTTGGGAACCATAATTTTTTTACATTTATAATTTAATCTTATTACAGTATTACTAAATTTGTTATGTACAGTTTTTTAAGTCATTGAAAATTTATTTTTTATTTTGATCATTCCATATTTAGAAAATATAACATTATAACCATATTTTGTATTGTTTAACATAATGTAGGTTCTTATATTACTCATATCAATACATTTATATTACATTTCATAAGTAAGGATTGGAAGGTATTACAATAAGCAACTCAATACCATCTGTACTCTTTCCAGCAAAAAATACATTATATATACTGTATATAATATACAGTCGATCCTCCTATAACACAGTAGATACATTCCAGTTTTTATGAATCCATTTTCTACAAGTCCAGCCAATCACAGCCCAGCACATATGCAGTTTATGGACTATGGCTGTTTGAAAGGTTTTTTCCATAAAATTAATCAATTCTAGACTAATTCGACTAAACATTTCCAAAATACATATAATTTTTTGGGAATAAAGCATATAAACTATGCTATAAACAAAAAATTGTAGGATAACTTACTGAGCGTGCACCGTTCGACTATGCCATTGCTTAAGCTTGTTTTCATCGTGAAGCTTGTCATTGAATGGCGCGCTCACGTGCTTCCTGATAAATTATTTTTTTTTGCAAAAAATTCACTGAACTTTGGAGACATCATTAATATAAATATAATTTTTATGGACGTTAAATAATAAATGGTTTTTAGTAGGTTCGCTGCTCGTTTAAACTCAACGGTTTGTACAATATCCGCTATTGGTCTAGATTCAACCAATCCTGTTACGATACGAGTCGGCGATGACGTTTTACTGAATTATAGGAGTTTTTTTAGCATGTTTGTACGAATACTGTCGCTATTTTTTCACCGTGATATAGGAATCCGAACTATAGGAACCCAAGTTATAAGGGGGGGTCGACTGTATTCATAGGTAGATAGACATGTAATCAAGAAAAAAATTAGACAAAGATTATTGCTTTCTGCCTGGACAGTTCAATTTTACCGGAGAAGTCAGGACATAGCTAGAGTTCATTGGATGGGTACCTTTGATGTAGAAAGGGAAGCTAATCAAAGCTGATAGCTAGAATTCTCTATTTTCATTCACCAGTGACCCCTATGATGGACAATATAAATAAAAATATTAAGCATTCCAGATAATGTTTACAGATGTTTTTGCTTATACTGTATTTGGTTTGTGAGATATGGATATTCCAATGGCATCAATGAGCACTAGTGCACTGTAGCTATCTCCTTAAAACTGATAGAGAAATATAGTAGGCAATAGAAATGAGGATGCTATTAAAATACTCTCTCTAATTCACAACCAGCTGAGCACACTAGTTTTTTGTGACATGTTAAAATATGCATGGTTTGCATCTCAAATATCACAAGAAAAAAATATTTTCAAAACGTTAATGAAGTTTATTTCCCATCTGTTATTAAAACAAAATGTAAAGATTGTACAAATGAAGTATCAATGATTATTTGAGCATGGTGCACCAAACCGTTATAGTTTTAACTGTTTTTATGATAAATACCACAAAATACCCAAAATGTCATATTCGTGTGAAACAGTAATTGTAAGTATTTATTGAATGTATATTTTTTGTGGCAAAAACTTTTAAATTTTTGTATTCCCCGATATTTTATAAAGAATAACATCAATAAATTTTAAACTAAATAATTAAAAACAGCAATTAAAAAGTACATAAATTTGATAACCAAGATTAAATTACAAATGTAAAAAAAATTGTAGCATGTGGGATTCAAACCCTTATACAGTAGAGTGTCGATTATCCGAATGTCGATCAACTGAAACGTCTGTTAACCGAAAGCGTTGCAGTCAGACTGTGTCATGCTGAATCGAACATTTTTGATACTAGATTAACTTCTAAAGTATAATTTTTTTTGTTTTTATATTTTTCAATATATTTATTTTATTTGTACAAAATAAAAAAATAATTTTTAATGATACAATAGTAGTTATTATTATAAAAATTTTCGTTAGGCTTAACATCGACAAAAATTCAACACAAAGCGATACACAATGGAGAAAAATTTAAACATGGGATATATTAATATACTATTATTGGGATATACTAATATACTATATTAATAATGTATTTTTTCATACTTAATTGGTTATCCAAAAAATCGATTTTCTGAACACTAATCACACAACATCATTAACACACAAGTGGCATTTCTGTGCAAGTATTAATAGTTCTAGAAAAACTTTAATTGTGATTTTCTCAAGAATGTCTGAATAGTGGGTCTTGTGGCTTTGATAGAGTTTAAATACAAGTAAATATTACATGGTGCAGTGTCAAAATCTGTACAAAATTCAATTTCAAATTCCTGCCATTCTATACCACCAGCAGATATTGTGTTTGGCATTCAAATATCTTGACACGTGTACTAAACCATCATAACCTTGAAATAGTTGCAATGTTGAAACAAAGTGCAGAGTATAACTGAAGAGCCACGATTATCAGAAGTGTTCATGCTGGGCACTTGGTGACAGAAATCATTCGGTTCTTCAGGTACCTGAATTTGACTGTGTATGATGTCGTCGCAAAGTACGAGATAGAGAAGTCCAATGTAGGTTTTTACAACACCAGCAAGAAAAACTCACTCAAAGGAGCATGTTGTCAGGCCACCCAAATCATTCAACAGGCTCAGGAGCTGATTTTTGAGGATCCAGGTCAGTCCGAAAATTGTCGTTGGTTGTTGGTGTGAGCAAGAAAACTATGCATAGAATTGTTGAGGAGGACCACCGCTACAAGTCTTACACAATTAAAGTGAGTCATTTGGTGCAAAATGATTGTCAGACAACGTTGACATGTTTTGGTTGAAAGAATTCTGGCCTCCCAACAGCCCAGACTTGAATCCTTTGGACTTCTATGTATGAAGAGTAGTTGAAAGGTCACAAACAAGTCCAGACATCCAAACATCGCATCATTGAGAGCTGCTATTGATGAGGCATTCGCCAATATGGACCGTGACACATTAAAGTGCGCCTGCACACGTTTCAGACCAAGAATGGAGGTGGTCATTCAAGCAGGATGGGGATATATTGAGTAAATGTATCCTATTTGGCCTTACAAACAAAGTGGTTAAAAAATATTTGTAAACCTTTTCGCTTTTTGCAATAAAAAATATGTTTGGAAAAAATGTGTAATTTGTCTGGATTTTGGAGCCATACCCTGTACACATCCACAAAATTTTGTCGAAATTGGTGATGACAACCTCCCAGGTTCCCCTTGTGAGTAGAATAGACTTTCTTCTCCTAGTAAGCAAGGACAAGTTCAACCTCCAATTGTATAGCAATTCAAACATCTAGCTTTAGCAGACCAGCATCTACTGTACTCAGAAAATAAAGGTTAAAGTTTAAGGATGTTCAGCCCTTTACATGTCCCATGCAAACACATGCTGGTTTGTATATCAAGGGTATAGTGATGCCATGTTTGGCTACTTAGCACTAAATTTGGCTTCTTTTATTTTTTTTTTGGCACCAAAAAATATTTTCTACTTTTTCAATCAATCTTCAACAGAAAAAAAAAATATCACAGATTTTTTTTATTACTTTCTTGAAACATTGTCAGTGATTATTTTTGTCATTTTGAACACACTAGTTTAGAAACATGAACACTAGGCAATCTTCATTTTAAATTTATTCAATTTTTAGTTGATACATGTAACGGGTACATGTATCAACTAAAAATTGATTGAAACTAAAAAGTCTCTTTCGTCTTCCTCTTTTTCAAAAGAAAACACATCTCACCGAGTTTCTTGGTATTCTTCATTTGAGAGTTCTTGGAGTTCTTCTGTCGTCAGATCAGTTTTCAGGTTTCATTATGAGCTCTAAAATGCTCTTTATTTCTCAGATGTGATTTTCATTACTCCATTAGCAGCTTGAAACTTATTGATATATCTTTCATAGCTAAGATTGTGCCTACTGTAGACCTGTTCAAGCCATACTGCCTAGCAACATCAGACATCTTGTGCTCACTTTCTACCTTGGCTATTATTTCTTACTTGGTTTCTACAGTGAGCACAGTTCTTGACACTCCTCTTTTTAGGCTTCATAATATTATCAGTTTTTTTTTTAAATAAAAAATTCAGGAAAACACTTACAAAAATTCAGAGAACAGAAATCAACTAACCCACAAGAAATTATTTAAATGCAAGGCCTGAATGAAATTCAAAATTTGGTATTAAAACGTTAACGAATATCCAATGGGACAGTTAAACTTTCACCTTTGATAAATAAACCCTGACGCAAAACTTAACAATTGCCCATCCGACAGTCTCGCAAATACTATAAAAAATTATTTGTCAGAAAGGTAAATAAAAAGCTAAAATTACAAGAAAGAGTTTCAAAATTCAGAGGAATATTAATACTATCCGATCGGTATCGGGTTGAGCATCAACATTGACTTCTCCTGCACTACGAAAGGTTTCAAATTGTTACTCAAAGACAAGGGAAAATCAATCGGTATTCGTTATTTTCCATCACTTCTTTTTATGTTTGTTCAGTAAAGTGTTCATTATCCGAATACGTGTTTGTTGTCCAATCATAAAAATCTCTCGTGAAAGTGTTCGTTATCCGATTTGTTCGCTATCCAAACTGTTCATTAACAAATCATCCACTATACTGATAACAACTCCTCACTGATAACAGTAACCCATTAAACGGGATGAATAAATAAGAACACAATTAGTGGAAATTCTAGTTTAATTGATTGGTATTAAAAGTACTGTACATGTTAAAACATATTATAAGTTAAAAATTTATTAAATAATATTAATTTAATTCATCCAGTCTATAATTGTAATAAGAAATGCCAGCAATTTAAACAATTATACTGCAAACAAATAATGATTAGAATGATTAATGCTTAAAGTTTAAAACACAGATAGCGAGAGTAAAAAGACATGTTTAAAAATGCTAGTTTACTTGAAGATAATAACAATAACCAAAACTAATTAAAATAAGCAGAGTTTTATAAATTTATACTGTATTGACTTGTGTTTTGGACATGCTAATTCTGATATAATCATCAGTGATTGCAATAAGCAGATTCTACTGTATTTAAAAATTTTTCTAGTCAAAACATTTGAGAAACAGATTAATAGTAAATAAATTCAAATACATAGTCGACAATAACAATTTAAAAAGATTTATTTGAAAGTATTTGCATTTACTATATATTATAAATGCCTTTAGTTGTTTGTAAAACTGAATGAAAAATGAAGAATCATATGTGCTCAATCATATTTAAATATGCTCAAACATGCAATTCTTCATTAGAAAACTAAACAAAAATATTTCAAATAAATTTTTTTTAATTACAATATCATTAAATATTTGTTTTAATTTATTTAACCTGTTTTTTAACTAGGAAAAATAAATTTAATAAGTGAAAAGCCATTCATAAAATGAAATCCTGATCATTTTTTTTTCATGCTTAAAGCCTATAATAAAATTAAATAATTGTTGTAATCATTATTATTTATTAAAAAATTTATTTTCTAATACAATACAAATCACATTTACTACTGCCTTAGTTTATTTTAAATTTTCTCTATCACCAGTGACATAGCATTTCTGCAATAAATCATTCCTCAAATATTGTAATGCCAAATCAGTTTCAACATCACAAGAAGTCAATTGACAGCAAATCACAATAAAGTTCCAAAAATACTTCCAGTCAAATAATAATCCCATTAGTTCTTGTTCTATAAGTAATTCTCATTAGTTCTTACTGTAATATTGTACAATAGGTACAGTACTAGTAGGTGAATGCGAATTCATTCAATCATCACTCAAGAAATGTATCTGTTACACAAATATTTTATTGTATTATTGTTTTTTTATTTAATACCAAAGAGGAATCACTAAGACAGTGTGATTCAAAATGCATTTATATTATAAAGAGAATATTAAAAAAATGTGTCAAATGCTAGTATAGTTACTCAGGTTGCTGTGGTTCTAGACCAGGCTTGGCAAATCCGCAGCTCATCACATTGTGTGGCCCGCTAAGCAATATTATACATCTATTAAAATTTTTGTTTCCAGTTATGTGTATACCAAAACAATTAAATAAATGAAAATTTGCATGTGTCATTGTTATAATGCACAAGTGCAAGTATGAACTCTTGGTATAACAATAAAATCTTATTAACTTTGTATTTGTTTTACTTTTTTAAAAGCATGTTTGCCTAAATTTTGGTCCACCATAATGTTACATGTGATCAAAGTGGAACGCGAAACAATTTGGGTTGGCCAGGCCTGTTCTAGACAATCTAAATTTGGAATAGAATATCCGTACCAAAATCACCCAGTTTACAAATTAAGACATGACAGAATACATTTATACTCTAAATCCCAGTAAAATAATTTAAATAATTAATTGAACTACCATATTTTTCTTTCAAAATTTCCCAAACTTTTCATTCAAAATAAATAAAACAAATGACGACAAATTTTCTACAAACAAAACCTTAACTATTCGAATTTACTGTATTTAATACAATACAAATTGTATTCAAATAACAGAATTTATATCTTTTAATCCTAAAAGATGTAGCATTGTTGTCAAATCATAAAACTTAACAGCATAACATCTTACAAGTTAAAATGTCTTTAACAATGTATCCTTTGAATTCTTTCAACCTAAACGAGTTTGCAAAAGCATTATGCAACTGCAATTCAAACAGAAATTGCATAATTAACACTTTATTCACCATCTTAATCGGATTATCATCGAATTACTTTAAAAAATCCACCACAATCCAGCCATTACCGAAACAAGTATATCCGGAACTGTTCTCGATTGGTTCGTATTTAAAACATTCCAAGTAAAATAAATCAAAGAAATTTGACAATTTGTTCTCCTTACGCATCATGTGCTGTGTTTATCATCGATACACGCTCCAAACGTAATTTCAGCGCTGGAAATAAAGTGCAGAACGATGTAAACGGAATCTGTTATGGCTTAAAACAGAGGATGCGGGTCAACGAATTCTTATTTTAACTCAATTTTAGATGTTAGACGAGAGCAACCTTTTGTGTCGAAATGAGTTTACTAAGCCTATTAAAATAACCGGGTTATATTCTAATTTACACATTTGACACTTACCGACTGCGTATATACTTAATGATATTCAGAATGACATTTAATGTTCGACGTTATTTAATATTTACTTATTGTTAATCTGCTTAGAGTTGTCATCGAGCATTCGTCTTTAAAAATTACAAACACAAAGCCACTATCGCCATTCTTAGTCGACGCTTGTTTGGTTTGTTAAATGTGGCGCCTTCTGTCGGTCGCGATTTCAATAATCGTTTACAAAATATACGCTATACGTAATTGAAATGTTTATAGAGTGTGCGTAGTTGTCAGTCTGTCCGACGTATTCGAATCAATACGATATGTAAACCGTTTTAAAATCCGGAATTTTTACAGATCTGTCTGCTTATTTGATCTTTACTGCTTTGCATTTAATTTCTATATTTTACTATTATAATTACGTAATTACAAGTACTAATTGTATTTTTTTAATGTATTAATAAAATGAATAACTTGTAAAGTACTCTATTTTTAAGATGGCATTCGAATTATATAATTATAAATGATTTTATTGAAATAAAGAGGTTTTTAAAAAAAAAAAAAAAAAAAAAAATAAAATTTTAAAATTGTTCTATTAATTTGCCTTGTATTGAATCTTTATTTTGAGGTCAAGTTATTTTTATTTCAATCATTATTCTTCAAACTTTACATATAAGCAAATTCATTTTGAAATAAACTACTGTGGCTGTATGCCATGTTTTGTATATATATTTTTAAATATAGTTTTAGTCCTCTCCTTTGTTCTTTGTTTCTTCTGGCTTCCAGAACTTCTTGTTCTAACTCTTTTCCCTTGAATGGTGATGGCTGATTCTTAGAATCGGGAGAACAATGAAAGAAAAGATGCCCTGAGGGCCGGTGAGAGTGTTGAAGAACATTTTTTGGCAAAGACCTTGAGGTGGACAGACGTCGAATGTGATCCTCCAGATCGCGTATGGCAATGACTGGAGAATTTGAGATTGTCTGAAGAAAATAGGATTTTATCATGGTTACAATAAAAGGTGTAGCAACTAGGTTTGAGGAGAANTTGAAAAGTCGGATAACCGAAAAGTATGAAAAAATCCATTATTAGTGTAGTATATTATTATATCCCATGTAATTAGTATATTAGTATATCGCTATTAACCTATTTTGCGTTGAATTTTCATCGATGTTAAGCCTAACAAATTTTTTTTTTTAAATAATAATCGTCGCTATTGTAGCGCCACATCACTAGCGGACATTTGAAATTTGCCGACTAGGACGGTCGGTTAACCGAGGGGTCGGTTGATCGGGGGGCGGATAATCGAGGTTCTACTGTATTAGCAAAGCTTGTTTTGTTAAGTTATGGCAACGCAACACTTGGGCAATCTGCCTAGGGAAATGCTTTCCGGGAGGTTTTTTAAGGATAATTGGTCCTTTTCAGGCATTAAAGACGTGGAAAACTCCTCGTCTTGGTGAGGCGCGAACCCACGACCCCAGTGTTTAGGGAACAGGAACCGCTTAGCCACTGATAGGCCTTTAAATGTAGCCTTAGCATCATATTAAGAAATTTTCAAGAAGGAAAGAGAGGCATGGCAAACAGCACGTGCTTGGGGCATCCAAAAGTTAGTAGATTCAAAAAGAGATACATTCTGCAAACCTCGGCCGCAGATGTCATCGTCATCAAGACAATTTTCTGTAAAGGTTTTGCAACTTTAATAACTGACAATTAAAATTTTCTTTCATACCATGAAAAATTTTAATATTTAAATATAAATATTAAAATTTAATATTTCCAGTTAATTTAAAAAAATTTTGTACTATACGAACAGCACTTGCTATCCAGTCAAATAAGCGCAGTTATTTCCTGCAAACTGAAAACGAATGACAAAGGTTAGTTTTCATTCCTGAATGAAAACTCTAAGAATGAAAAAGTACAGTTTTTAGTGTCACTTTTTTTAATGCTTTTTCCGCCCTGTGGGCACTAAGAGGGCCTCTTATAACAGGCCCATTATGGGTTCGGCCAGGCTCACAATGGGGCGACCGGGTAGTGAGGGACGGCCCCCGAGAATTTTCTGGAGATTTATCGACTTGGCCTAGTTCGAACCCGGGTACCCCAAAGCGGTGTGCTGCCACCTTGACCGCGCGGCCATCCAGCCTCCTTATGAAGAAAACATTATAAAGTAAAGGATTCATGCATTACATTATTGTTAATGTCATATACTGTAAACATTATTTATTGTGATCACTGGTTTTTAGATTCCACTGCATTTTACAGTACAAAACAGTTGAATCCATACAAAACAGTAAAATACATTGCATTTTAGCCGATTATTAAAATCATCCCACCGATTATAAAAACTGATTAGTCAGTATTTTACATTTTCCCTGTTACATATAAAAGATGGAAAGTATAGCGATCGATTAAAAATGACCTCCCCAGATTTTTACATTTTTGGACTCAGGAGACTTTGAAACGTTAAGAAATGCAAAAAAAAAAAAAAAAAAAAAAAAAAGGATTTTCTTTCTGTATTCATGAATGTTCTAATGCATTTCTGTATGTGTATGTGATGGGAGACACGATTTCGTTCACCTACTTTGAAGCTTAATAATTCATGTGCCTATTATTGAAAATTTCTGAAATTTTGCAGAGTGGTTTTTATACAGTATTAGCAACATTGATACTATGAAATTTTGATTAAAGATAAAGGGATTGGGGAAGATAGAGCAGAGTCATGTGTCATATCTCGAGTGGGATTGGACTTAATATGTTCAACGCGTATCATTATTCAATGCAATGCGTTCAGTGCGTAAGCACGAAAATCATTTGTGCTATCGAAATGACTTCAAAAGTTTAATACAAATAATAATTTAAAATGAACAGCTAAGACGATACTAACAATTTAGATTTTAATATTTTTAAATAACTCAACTTGAACAGCCTTTTAGAATTAACCAGGTATTTATAAATTGTATTGGAGTCTATAAATCGATGATCCAATTTAAATTATAAAACTGACAACTCAGTTTTTTAGTTAAATATGGAAATTACAATTATATAGTTAATTCAGTCGATTCAACTTCCTAATTTAGTAATGGCATGAACATAACTACAGTATTGATCGAAATGCATATTCAAAAATCGCAGAAATTAGTAATTACGAAATTCCAGATTTTCATATTAATGTAAAGTTAATTCATTAGATATTTCTTATAAATCATTAACATAAATACTAATTGTTTGTTTTTTAACTCTTTCCGCTCTAAGCACTAAGAGGACCTATAATAGCAAGCCCGTTATGGATTCGGCCAAGCCTACAATAGGACGGCCGGATAGTGAGGGACGGGGACCGACATATCCAGTCGGGCCAACCCCTGGGGATTTTTCGACCCGTCCGGATTCGATCCCGGGCCTCCAGATCGGCAAGCTGCCATATTAATGCTTGACCATGGGTCATTTTAGAGAGTGCGGGCCAGCGTTCGAAGACACTAGTTACGCGTAGCACTTTCACTGTCTCAGAGTCCAAGGACTTTAAACTACAAGGATAGCCAGATCCCGTATATTTGTTAGCGTGACCTTGGATCTATGTGACGTCACAGCAAGCCCTCTACTTCAACATGACAGATCTTTCAAATAACAAAGTACGATAAAATATTAAATCATTTCTTAATTAATTATTAAATTACTACTAAATGTATACTGTAGAATTTTCGGATTTAATAAGTGTACTGTACGTCAATAAATTTACAAGTCTTTTGTCTAATATTTATTTAACAAATTAATGAGCTATATTTTTTATTATGTGATTATCTTACTTAACTTTTTAATTTTTTTTCGACAATCACCATTTTCAGAAGGCATTCTTTTCAATATTTTATAGTTTTCTTGTTTAAGATTTCTATAATTAATTCTTATTATAGTTCTTAATTTACAAAAATCTTTTATTAAAGTAAAAGGTAAAACTGTTTCCACTGACTAATTCTGTACAACTCCGGGGCCTTTTTTATACGATTCATCGTGATATATTTCGAAATATTTATTCCATTCTATAATTTTTGCTAGCCATTCATCAGTAGGTTTAATAAGCCCTCCATAAGATAAATGTTGCACCCATGACGGAATGCTATAGTTGTAATGATTTTTAATTTTGTTAGTGGAATTAATTAAGTTTGGGTATTTTTCTTTATATTTATAGGCAAAATATCCTGCTATATACTCGAGAGCATCGTAGGAAGTTTCTTCAGAGATTGTGTTAAAGTCTAGATTGCATGTAGAGTTTCCTGAAGATTTATTTGAAGAAAAAGTAGTTTTACATTCAGTATATTGGTCTGTATTTTCACTTGATACTTCTACATGTGCTTTCTCTAAAACTTTGGGTATAATATATTCCTCTTGTCTTCGATCTGTAGTATTTACTTTTGACTCTAAAATACCAGGATTCTTACCTAAAATAATCAATCTAATCCTATATATAGCATTTAATGGGCTTGGATGTTCATTAGGACCCCGGCTTCTAATTTTAAAAAAAAAAGTTTTCCAGACAATCTTGATTTAAATTGTGAGTGCAGATGTATTTTATATCAAAAGTCGATTTCATATCTTGAAAAAGATCAATTAGCGATTTCATTGAGATTATCATTCCTTTCTGGAAAATTTGGAGGGCATTTTTTCCACTTGCTCTCATTGTTGAGATTATTTTTATCATTTTATTTAAATGTTCTTCTTGTAATTCCAAGTCTACACCATATCCATTTTTGCTTGGAACAGAACCTTTTGGTGCATAGCTATTAAAAATGTCGAACCACATATTTATATCTCTAATATACGTTTCATTGATAATAATAATTGATTCATAATAAACGTTTCATTGATATTCACATTCAATTCTTTCCATAAACTTATGTTACTGCAACTACAGTCACTGACGCAAGCTACTACATTATACGATAGTAAATAAAGTTCTGCTATTAATTTTAAAAGTATTTCTCTTGTCATTTTTTGATCAAACCCGATGTAAACAGGTTGCTTCCAATTTGAAAAAAGAAGGTTATTATTGCAACCATACACAGCACACCTAGTACTCAGCATTTTGTTCTTCACCTAACATAAAAATATAGCTTTAAATATTTAATGACTTATATTTAAATCATCTTACCTTATAAAAAACTTAGTCAAATAAAACAATTACAGAAATATTAAAATAAATCACTTCGTTAATCACAAAATTGGACGAATATTAAAAACGAAAACTAAACACGTGCACACTCTGCTCTATGTAAACAGAGA